CATATTGACCGTTTGTTGAGAGATCTTCCAACGCTGTTTAATACAATAGAGGATTTTCTATGGTTTCAGTTGTCAGCTGTACGTAACAGCCATGGGGAATCCTCATCTATTGTTCTGAATGAAGGCTCGGTACCTTACACTTTGGATGATTTGCAGTTTTACCTCAACAAATTTGAACCGTCATATTATACTAAAAATGGGAAAGACCCCCTGGTATATCCATATGTTCTGCTTTTAAGTATCCAGTTGCTGCCTGCGGTCTTGTATTTGTCAAAGGAAACAGGAGAAGAAGGATTAAATATTGATGCTGCCCACATATCAATTGTGCTTGCGGACCATGGAGTACTTTCAGAAGGATCAGGGGCTGGACAAAAATTGGGTGTGATGGATGCTTATGCTGAGGTATCTAGCATAATTAGGCAGTATGGTTCTCTATTTTTAAGAATGGGTAATTTATCTATGGCACTAGAGTACTATGCCCAGGCTGCTGCAGCCGTGGGGGGTGGACAGTTGGCATGGTCTAGCAGGGGTAGTGTGGATCAGCAGCGGCAGAGAACTTTGATGCTGAAGCAACTTCTAACTGAGCTGTTGTTACGTGATAGAGGCATCTATCTCTTGCTTGGTGCAAGAGGTGCTGGAGAAGAAGGTGAATTAGTACGTTTTATGACTGACATTAAATCAAGGCAACAGTTTCTACTGGAAGCTGCTCGACAGTGTCAGGAAGCTGGGCTTTATGACAAGGTAATAATTTGTCTTGTCTTACAAATCCAAATGTCTTTCTCTAAACTTGGTGGTGGTTGTAGCATGTTCTCAGTTCATATGTATAACCATCATGGAATTATATATTTAGCTAACTCTATGTTTAAAAGGTTAAAGTTTGCCATGAGGGTGTTTTTCTTAGAGAGGCAACAAATGGTAAACCATGAAGCGGGATAAAGATCCATCTCTTCTATATTTGAATCAGTTAACCATTGGAAATGAATTTGGAACTATTATTAAGACACTGGATATCATACAAACAACCCTCAACCAAGCATCCCAAGCATCCCAAGAATCTTCAATTTTCATTTTTTTTTTGTTCGAGTGTCTTCTCTGCCATCTCTGTTTCCTGATTCTTTCTTATCTATGATGTCTATGAGAAATTGTCTTATTTATGATTGCCCCCTATTATTTGAAACTTGGCTTATCCCCTCATAGTATTCTATTCATCATTTTAAAATTCTGTATTTTACTTATCAGTCAATAGAGATTCACAAGAGAGTTGGGGCATTTTCAATGGCACTGGATACAATTAATAGGTGTCTCTCTGAAGCAATCTGTGCGCTGTCACGTGGTAGATTGGATGGGGAAAGCCGGACTGCTGGCCTTATTCATTCAGGCAATGACATTTTGGAAACATACAAATATTATCCTGAAATCAGGTTATTAATTAATTTAATCGTCTGTACACATGTAGCAATTTTTAGTTAATGCTTTTAATTTATAAGAAATATGTTGTGAACTGTTTCATGTAACTGTATATATTGAACTGTTCGAGGTTGTGTGCTATTCTTTTTGATTAGTCAGTTTTTGATATTTTGAAACATAAAATTCGTACAAAAGGCTATTCTCCCTTCTTGGTTCACCCCCAAGGAAAAAAAAAAAAAAAAAAAAATCAATTCAGATGCCAGTCCTCAATCTTGTAATTTTGTATCGATTTTTAAAACGCTTTCTAATTTTCTAGCACTTGGAAAATTTTATTTGTGTATATATATATATATATTTTGGTTGAGCTCAGCATATAATTTCTACACAAGGAATTCTAGTAAAAGGGGAAATATTGACCATCTTTTTTTCCCTTTTAAATTAAAAATCTGTTTAATTTGATATCCTAAAAATGTTTTGAGCCATTGAGAACATTGTTCTTTTATTGTTATTTTTCCTACAGTCGTTGGTTCTACAATATATTTGTAAACTAGGGAGCAGCATAGTTGCCTTCACTTAAATTTACTGGAATGTAAACATGCAGCCTTCAGGAAAGAGAATATGTCATGGAGCAACAGACCGTGTTAAGACAACTTGAGGCAGTTCTTTCAATCCACAAGTTGGCCAGATTGGGTCATCATCTAGATGCTCTAAGGGAGATTGCTAGAATTCCATTTCTTCCATTGGATCCACGAGGGCCTGATATGACTTCTGATGTATTTCAAAACCTATCTCCTCACATTCAAGCTTGTGTACCAGATCTTTTGAAGATTGCACTTACGTGTCTGGACAATGTGAAAGATTCTGATGGATCTCTTCGTGCCTTGAGGGCCAAGGTATGCAAACAGCACACCCTTAAATAGTGTTTCTAATGCATTGCTAACTAACCTCCAGCAAGTCTGTTAGTTCCTCTTCTTGTCAATTAATCGCTCAAAGTAGATGTGTTAAATTAATGTTGAAAAAAGTAGGGGTATTGAGGTGTTGGGATGAATCGGACCGAGTAAATAGACATTTTAGACCCGATTTAGTTTATTGGTCCTGGGTTTGTTGTTACTAATGCTAAGTGGAATGTGGAAAGGGAGTCAAAGATCTCCATTAGAGGTATATTTGGCTAACTGAGAACTTTCTCTGACTAAATTTGGTCCACCCCGATTTAAACTAAACTTAACGGCGTTTCACCCTTTCAGCATACTATTATTTCTTATTAGAAAATAACGGCATTAGACAAAATATTGTGGCATGGTGTTGAAATTTATAGTTAGTCTGTTGTGTGCAAATTCTTGGTAAACCTGCTCCTAATTCATGTTGGACTTCTTTTGCTTTGGCAGATTGCAAACTTCGTTGCTAATAATTTAAACAGGAACTGGCCTCACGATTTGTACGAAAAAGTTGCTCAAACCTTGTGAAAACATGTGGACTTCAGCATTGCATTTGAGGGGCTAGCCATGAAAATGAAACTCTGCAAAGATCCTAGCAATGGGAAATTTAGCATAGTTTTAGACTAAAGCTTTGTGAAGCAGTACAAAAGAAGAAGGAAAATGAAGTTGAGGAATGATGGGAGAACGGTCTGTGGTATGCGCAGCTTTTTTTTCACCAATCAGAAAGACTAATTGTAAGTTTACATTATCATTCCCAAATTTTCATTTTCCTTTCGTTTCCTTCCGTGCCTTTCTATTATGCTTGTTGCAAGAGCTATAAGCAAAAGAGGTGGTAAAATGGTGCTAAATTTAGGGTTTATATCTGCTCAAATCTGCTGTGAATCTGTTTTTATTTTGGAATATTATGAAAAGAACTATTTTACTGATTGGAGGTATAGAGAGCTTATCTAGATTTATTTACTCAAGTGTTTTGAGATCATTAAAACCAGTAGGTACAAAGAAATATGGTCGTATAAATCAGGGAAACAAAACCGACATGCCTTTTACGGGTTTCTTAGCCAGCTATAGAATAGGTACAGCTAGCTCGACGTTTTGTGCCCAGTTCTGGTTCCATGAAAAATGACCAAAAACATATAGTAATTCTTGTGTATAAATATTGAACTTTGAAACATATTTTCATCGTTATGGGCATATTGTAACTTGTGTTAAGAATAGGAGCTAGACATTATTCAACGATGTGGGTGGATATTTGAGTTTTAATTTCTGAAACTTTGAGCCCACTGAGCTATCTTTTTTAATTGTTGTGATTATTCTTTTTTAGTCTAACCCATGAAAAATAACACTTTCACCTCTGAACTCACCATTTTTTTTTTGCCTAGATTATGAACCCCTAATTAATATATATATATATTTTATCATAATTTAATATTTTCTCCCCTTTTTTGTGTTCAAAATTAGCTTAAAAAATAGGAACAACTCGAGATACATTCAAGTATTTTAATATTGTTAGACGAACATGACTCTCTACAATGGTACGATATTGTTTTTTGAAAATAAGTTATAATGACTTTTTTTTGGGCTGTCCAAAAGGCCTCACATTAGGTCTCATAGAGAGAATATAGATCATTCTCTAAATTAATCTTTCTTACTTTCATCATCTAATAAAAATAAAATTTTAAATTGAAATATAATATTTTTCTTTTTTAATTGGGTTTGATCTAAGTATTTTAAATAAAATTTTAGATTGAAAAATAGTATTTTCTTTTTTAATAATTATTTTTGGGTTCGATAGTTACAAAAACGAGAAATGAAATGTGGTATTGATTATAAATTATTAATTTTATTATGGTTATTTGTGTTATATAATATATATATAATCATTCCTCGAGATAAAATTTAATGCAATTTTGAATAAAATATTAATGTTTTCTTGTCCAATTTGAAGTTATTAAAAAATTACATTGAAATATGCAATATTTTAAAAATAGTATAAACAAAATAAAAAATAAAAAGTTAGGAGCAGACCAATACTATTTTTCCAATTACTTTGAAATTAAAAAAAATAAAAAATCATATTAATCTAGACACGTTATAGTTTTCGTTTTAATATTATAATGGTAATAATAATAATAATAATAATAATTAATATTATATAATAATATCTGAAATTCAATAATATAATCAAGATATTTATAAGTGAAATTACAAAAATACCCCTAACAGATATATTAAATATTGGTTTATATCCAACTCATGTTTAAATTTACAATAACCAGAAATGGAAAAATTAGTGTCAATTATTTATTGTTTTTTTACGGTTGAATAAATGAGAAAAATATGTTGAATTTATATTTATGGGTTATTAAAATTTTTAATCTCCGTCAATCCTTTGTTACGAGGTAGCTATATTATAATGACTACGATAATTTTCATCGTGTTGCTTGAGTGTTGCTTCTGCTCCAACCGATCGAATTTTTTCAGTTTTCAAAAAATTAAACTCAATCCTAGTCGAAAAAAGTCTAACTCAAGCTAACCTTTAGAGTTTGGGTTAGATAATCCGAATCGGTCAAATTCTGGAGTGATTTAAATGGACTTAAATGGGGTCGCTCACCGCCACATCCGAACCAAGGCCCCGAGGGACGAAAACAGGCAGGACAATAGCAGCAAAACTCAGAAAGCACATTGAAGTAAAGGAATAGGTTGTTATCTATATACATACAATCTTAGGTATTAGAATTAGTTTTTGAATAAAGAAAGCAAGAAATAAGGCATGGCCATTGTCACTCAAACAAACCTTACCTTCTGGTTAGGCTCTCCATCATGTGTTGCTTCTGCTCCAACTTTGGTAACATGAATATGAGTATGAGTAGCAGCTAAATCCTTTTTAGTTTCTTCAGTTTGTTTAGCCCCAAAATGAGTATCATCACTAGTTACATCTCCTTCTGCTCCATCCATAATAGGAATCGTCCGTACTCGGTCATCAATATCCTTAACCTTACAATCTTCTGCTTTTGAAGGTCGTTCAGTCCCAAAACCAGGATCATTATTACCCTTAAACTGATCTGCTTTTAAAGCTTGTCCATCATTCTTAGCTTCATGATGATCATCGTTCGTAGCTCGGTCGTGTTCTTCTTGTCTAGTTAGTCTGGTCCAATCACGACCAACAGCTTCTTTTGATACCGCTTCAGCACCAGTGTTCAATCCAGTTTGATCATCGTTCATAGCTCGGTCGTGTTCTTCTTGTCTAGCTAGTCTGGTCCCAGCTTTTTTTGATACCTCTCCATCTGCATTGTTCAATCTAGTTTGATGAGCATCACTCTTACGCTCATCATTATTTACTTCTTTAGTTTGTTTAGCTCCAACAGCTGCCTTGTCTTTGTCTTTGTCTTTGTGTTTTGATGCTGCTCGTAGCTTAATTATTTTGGAGTCCACATAAATGGTAGAGATGCAAGAGGAATCGAACTCTGGATGATTGCCAACCTTCAAAACTTGTTGGCTAAGCAACTCACAAAACGTGATCCTCAATTCCTTTATCTCATCACAATTTTGGAGAATACTAAGCATACAGCCCGCCAGCACAGGACAGTTGGAGATCCTAAGAATTCGAAGTTCCCATAAATTTGGAAGCCAATCGGGTAATAATCTTAGTGTGGGAAACTCTCCCAATTCTAGCACTAATAAACCCAAATCAGAATAACAGATCCACATCGGCAAATTGGTCAATGCTGGAAGTCCTCTGAGTATCAGTTTTTTGAGATGAATGAGTTCCATTGGGAATACCAATCTCAGCCGCTCACACCCCCATAGTGCCATATTACATAATGTTCTCGAGTTTCCCAAGTCTTTTGGCAATGTTAGCAACGATTTGCAATCATAAATGATCAGTGTTTGAAGGGAACTCAGTCTGTCAATATCTTCAAACAAGCGAGCCAAGTTTTCACTCCCTCCGATGGCGAGAAAACGAAGCGATGTTAAGCTTCCTATGCCATCTTTTCCCAAGCTGGCTTGCTTTGTCTGTATCCATAAGAATCTGAGGCTGATCATGTTCTTTATGTTTCTGGGAAGTTCTTCAAACTCTGAGCAGAATGCAAGTATCAGGGTCTGCAGGATCTGTAGCTTGCAAATTGATTCTGGCAACCTCTTGAGTCGTTGGCTCCCTCGCAAATCTAAATACCTTAAATGTTTCAGCACGTCGATGGAGGTTGGAATTTCTTCCAAAGAAGAGTTGCATAAGTATAAGACCCTTAGCTGCCTGAACATGGTGATGCATTTGAAAAGAGGAACTCCATTGATCTTTGGCTCCACACCTCCTCCCACTGGATTGGAAAGGACACAAATTTTATCAAATTTCGGCAGGGGCAAATCCTTGTTGTTGCAGTCGACAAATGACAGCTGATGCAAACTTTCCAGGTTCTGTTGTTCCTTACTAGCCTGTTGGAATGCAAGCTCATGAACGAGGCTATGGAGTTTGAACCAATATCCAAGAGTGTGCTCCTCAACGTCTTCGAGTAAACCGCGAGACCACAATTCATTGAAGTATTGCTCCCCAACAGACTCAGGATCTTTGCTATCTGAATGAAGGAGTCCTTGTGCCATCCATAACTGGATTAGCTCAAACGAGTAGAACACATAATCTTTAGGCAACAACGAAAAGCAAAGAAAACAAGGCTTTAAGTAAGATGGCATTAGATCATAACTCAGTCTCAGTACATGTAAAACGCAGCCACCCTTCTTCACCTCCTCCTGTTTCCATTTCTCAAACAAGGCCTGGAGATTCAACGACTCAACACCACCACTCGCTTCCAAAGAAAGCAATCCGGCAAAGAATTTGATTGCCAAAGGAACTCCTCCACATTTTGACACAAGTTTTTCGAGTTCACTTTGAAATTCGGTCATAATTTCAAATTTTTTTATTCCAAATGTCTGTTTAAATAAAGCCATAGATTGCTCCTCGTTGAGTTTTTGAACCTTGTGTGTTGCAGGATCCTGTAGAGTTTGCTCACTGCGAGTGGTGATCATGATCTTGCTGCCATTAGCACCCATCTCCACTAATTTTTCCACTTCTGATACTCTACCGGGATCCAAAGCCCCGAAATCATCCAAAACAAGCAACAATTTTCTGCCGACAAAGTTCCCATTGAGCCGGATTTGTACACGCTTCTCGGTTAGGACACCATTAACCTTTTCGCCAGTTGCTGAACTGAGAATCTCCCTTCCGATTCTCTGAACATCATAATCTTCAGAAACACATACCCACATTCTCTTGTCAAAATGATTAAACACTTCGTGGTCATTGTAGACTAACCTGGCCAGAGTCGTCTTTCCCATCCCTCCATCTCCATGAATTGAGAGAATACGCCGAGATTTTTGTTTATCGTCTTCATCCTTCAGTAGTTCATCAATGATACTCTTTTTTGCTTCATCTCTACCAATAATGGAGTCGACATTATCAGAGAGAATCGCCTCTTTCTTCAAATGCAGAAGCCTAGAGAAAGCTTGCGAACCAGTAATGGAGGTCCGCAGAGTCATTTCACTCTTCAAACGTTTGATGTGTTTACTTTCATCTTCAATCAGAGAGAATTCAGACATGGTTTCCGCAATCGTATCTAAAGTCTTTGTGATTTCGTTTATTTCAGCGGCAGTTTTAGTTGAAGAAACGAAGAAATTGGACGAGAAACAAGAATAGAACTGGCATCTCTTTTCGTCAACATCGTTCTTTTGATTCTGCCCTCTCCACTTCAAATATTCGTATTCCAATTCGTCAAGGAGATCATCGGCCTTCAAAAATCCGTTCCTGAGTTGTTCAAGCAGATCATAGAGTTTCCTATCGCTTGCCTGCTTCTCCTCGGCGTCTCTGAGTCCGGGCTTGAGATTCGACACAGTCATTTCGAGGTTTCTTAGTTCGTTTCGGATATGATGAAACTCCGGTCGGCTGGCGGCTTCAATGATCCTTCCGATCAGATTTCCGGCAACACTGTCAAGAATTCCGGCCATTGCTAGGGTTCAAATTTGTCTGATCGATTCTCGATTTCTGATTTTTTTTCGTCTTCAAAATGCATGGTTATGTAGTCGCTCAAAATTCTTTGTTGTTGGACTCAAGTAAGAAACTGCTACTTTCCTCGATTTCTCGGCTACTGTATTCGTTTTCTTTGTAATCAAGCAAACGGCAAAAAGCTTTCATACCTTTTCCCTTTTGCTTTACAGAAGGAAGCCAACTCGAACTGGTTTTGCCTTCGTTCTTCATGAACACAATACTTAATTTCCTTTGCGTCGAACACTCTCGCACCTTTCCAACTCACCAACAGTTCGATGAAGGAAGAATGGGAAGTGTGGGCTCTCATTTTACTTTCATTTCAGCTTTTGATTCTTTTCCAACAAATTCATTGTCATTCTTTTTAAATTAGTTTGATGTAACATCTAAGGTTTTAATAAATTTATATTCTTTTATTATAAATTTATGATCATTATTTAAATTAGTCTGATGTGACATCTAACGTTCTAATAAATTTATATTTTTTTATTTATGTTATATATTCTTTTCTTATAAATTCATGATCATTCTTTAAATGAGCGAGGACATCTAACCTTTTAATAAATTTATATTTATTTAAATATATCCCGTTAACTTTTGAAAAATTTTACCATATTTTCAAACAAATGATACAAGTTTTAAAGGTATTTTTTATAATTTAATCTATATATTAATATTTACATTATAATAAAATACCAAAGTATATCTAGAATATGAGTAAAATCTTATTTTTTAAATTACTTTCAAATTAAAAAATAAAATAATTTATTTGCTGGGATGACTCATATTAATTTTTTTTTTCTTCTTAGGGTTATAATAAAATTTAGACGAGTTATTTATTTATTTATTTTTTTGTATAATAATGATAATATGAAGTGCAATAATATAATTACGAGTCCATTGAAATTGTTAGGTATGTTCACACGTAACATATTCATATGAATTTGAGGTGATCCAATTTTTAGCGGGAAAACGACACTTTAAATCTCAATCTACATCATTGAATTCTTGGATAGCTTAACGGTGGAACTATCATCACATAACACACTTCTTTGATGACACTTGTAATACTCAATTGTAGGCTTTTTTATAGAACGATTGTCTACCTTTTCCTAAAAAAACTTCATTAATTGGTCACCTCATCTTCCATTGATTCTATCTTTGTATGTCTCATTTAATGCTTGTCCATCTCCTCCACGTCGGTTCGTCCGTTCGTCCTTTGTTTATGTACTATCAAGCTAGTCTATAACTCGTTAGTAGTTAAAGTGTCTAAATTATCAGACTCAGAACCTACAATTGAGTCAAGCCTTGAGATCGTTGATTTTCAGATTTTTTCAATCATCACCATTTGTTGGTTCACCATTAATCTTCATCTTATTTGCTACGGTGATTGTTCGAGCGAAGTACACATCAACACTCCTACCCTCTTTCACACCTTTATAAAAAAAATATTTCGTTCCTCTCTCTAACCAATACAAGATCTCAAATATATATTAGAGAATTCATACGAATTTTGCGAAAAGCTATCCGTATGTTACCGTAAACAATCTCTAAAACTATCTAACACTTCAAAAATGGAACAAGAAATGAAAATGGAAAGATGGATCATAACTGCACACCAAGTCAGGCTTCAAACACTGTTCTTGGCCACACTGAGGTGATAGATCCAAACCAAGGCTACAACTCAAAAACAAATCCTGTGAATCAAGTGATGGTTGAATGTAAAAAGAGCGTATTGCATGCATGCATATATATATTTTATGGGAAAGTGTGGCTCAAATTGGTAAAACCAACCCGAAACGAAAATGAAACTATGAATTCTTTGATGGGAAAATGGATAGGGAAAGAGATAAGATTAGATAAAATAAATCAGAGCCTCCAGTGTTTTATTATTGTTTTCTAACTCAATGCTCAAAGGGTTACATAATTTATAGTCTTATACACTGGACGAGAAATCGTAGAAATGTAGATAAATTCAAATCTACTAAAAATCTCCTAAAATTTAGGTAGTTTGAATATTTGAATCATATTTCAACTACTTTAAATCATATCTCATTTTAATTACTTTGAATCATATCTCAACATTCACAGTGAATGTTGCCTTGGCCTCCTTCTTGCTTGATTTTTTTTTTGGTGTCAACATAAATGGAAGGGATGTGAGAGAGATCGTTATCACTGCCTGGCTTCTTAACAATGTCGCAAAGCCACCCACACAACGTGATTCTCAGTTCTTCCATCTTTCTACAATAACCTAAATGAGAAAGGTTAAGATCATCAGCAAACCTTGGACAGTTGGAGAACCCAAGAATTCGAAGTTCCCATAAATCTGAAAGCCAGAGAGGTAATTCTCTTAGCATGGGAAGCTCTCCCACTTCTAGCACTACTAAATCTTCATCCGAATTGCCTATCCAGTTTGGCAAAGTGGCAAAAACAGGAAGGCCTCTGAGTATCAGTTTCTTAAGACGAAGGAATTCAAGAGAGTCTGTCAATATCAGCCGCTCACAACCCCATATGGCCATATTACATAACGTAGTCGAGCTTTCCAGGCCTTTTGGAAATGTGAGCAGCGATTTGCAATCATAAATGATCAGTGTTTGAAGGGAATTGAGCTTGTCATTATCTTCAAACAAGCAAGTCAAGTTTTCGCTCCCTCCGATGGCAAGAAAACGAAGCGATGTTAAGCTTCCTACGCCGTCTTTTCCCAAGCTGACTTGCTTTGTCTGTATCCATAAGAATCTGAGGCTGACCATGTTCTTTATGTTTCTGGGAAGCTCTTCAAACTCCGAGCAGAATGCAAGGATCAGGGTCTGCAGGATCTGTAGCCTGCAAATAGACTCCGGCAATCTCTTGAGTCGCCGGCTCCCTCGCAAATCTAAGTACCTTAAACATTTCAGCGTGTCGATCGAGGTTGGAATTTCTTCCAAGGAAGAGTTGCATAAGTACAAGACCCTTAGCTGCCTGAACTCGGTGATGCATTTGACAAGAGGGACTCCATTGATCTTTGGCTCCGCACCTCCTCCCTCTGGAACGAAAAGAAAATGAACTTTATCATTTGACGGCTGAGGCAATTCCTTGTTGTTGCAGTTGACAAATGACAGCTGATGCAAAATTTCCAGGTTCTGATGTTCCATACTAGCCTGTTGGACTGCAAGCTCATGAACGAGGCTATGGAGTTTGAACCAATATCCAAGAGTGTGCTCCTCGACGTCTTCGAGTAAACTGAGAGACTGCAATTCATTGAAGTATTGCTCCCCAACAGCCTCAGGATCTTTGCTACCTGAATGGAGGAGTCCTTGTGCCATCCATAATTGGATTAGCTCAAATGAGAAGAACACATGATCTTTTGGCAACAACGAAAAGCAAAGAAAACAAGGCTTTAAGTAAGATGGCATTAGATAATAAGTCAGTCTCAGTGCATGTAAAACGCAACCATCTCCCTTCACCTCCTCCTGTTTCCATTTCTCAATCAAGGCCTGGAGATTCAACGACTCAACACCATAATTCACTTCCGAAGAAAGCAGTCCGGCCAATGATTTGATTGCCAAAGGAACTCCTCCACATTTTGACACAAGTTCTTCGAGTTCACTTTGAAATTCGGTCATAATTTCAAATTTTTTGATTCCAAATGTCTGTTTAAATAAAGCCATGGATTGCTTCTCGTCCAGTTTTTGAACCTTGTGTGTTGCAGGATCCTGTAGAGTTTGCTCACTGCGAGTGGTGATCATGATCTTGCTGCCATTAGCACCCATCTCCACTAATTTTTCCACTTCTGATACTCTACCGGGATCCAAAGCCCCAAAATCATCCAAAACAAGCAACAATTTTCTGCCGACAAAGTTCCCATTGAGCCGGATTTGTACACGCTTCTCGGTTAGGACACCATTAACCTTTTCGCCAGTTGCTGAACTGAGAATCTCCCTTCCGATTCTCTGAACATCATAATCTTCAGAAACACATACCCACATTCTCTTGTCAAAATGATTAAACACTTCGTGGTCATTGTAGACTAACCTGGCCAGAGTCGTCTTTCCCATCCCTCCATCTCCATGAATTGAAAGAATACGCCGAGATTTTTGTTTATCGTCTTCATCCTTCAGTAGTTCATCAATGATACTCTTTTTTGCTTCATCTCTACCAATAATGGAGTCGACATTATCAGAGAGAACCGCCTCTTTCTTCAAACGCAGAAGCCTAGAGAAAGCTTGCGGACCAGTAATGGAGGTCCGCAGAGACATTTCACTCTTCCATCGTTTGATGTGTTCATTTTCATCTTCAATCAGAAGGAGTTCAGACATTGTTTTCTCAATCGTATATATCTTCTCTGTGATGTCGTTGATGGTAGATTTATATGCAGAAACGGAGAAATCGGATGAGAAACGAGAAGAAAACTGGCATCCCTTTTCATCCACGTCGTTCTTTCGATTCTGTACTCTCCACTTCAAATATTCGCAATCCAATCCCTCAAGGAGATCGTCGGCCGTTGAAAATGCGTTCCCGAGGTTTTTAAGCAGATCATAGAGTTTCCTATCGCTTGCCTGCTTCTCCTCGGCGTCTCTGAGTCCGGGCTTGAGATTCGACACAGTCGTTTGGAGGTTTCTTAGTTCGCTACGGATATGACGTAACTCAGGTCGGCTGACGGCTTCAATTATCCTTCCGAGAAGATTTCCGGCAACACTGTCAAGAAGTCCGGCCATTGCTAGGGTTCAAATTTGTCCGATTGATTCTCGATTTCTGATTTTTTTTCGTCTTCCAAATGCATCGTTATGTAGTCGCTCAAAATTCTTTCAGCTGGAATCAAGTAAGAAACTGCTACTTTCCTCGATCTCTCGGCTACTGTATTCGTTTTCTTTGTAATCAAGCAAACGGCAAAAAGCTTTCATACCTTTTCGCTTTTGTTTTACAGAAGAAAGCGAGCAGACAGTGATTTTACCTTTGTACTTCATGAACAGAATACAGAATGTTCCTTGCGTCGCTAATGGAATGAACATGATTTATCTTCCAATCCGCGGATGCGTCTTTGAGCCCACCGTTTGTCTTGCTTTTCAGTTCCTTCTTCGTCTCTATGAAAATAGGAATTACAAATTAGAGTAAGAAACAGAATCAGAGAAGATGGAAAGCATATCGGCCATGAAATTCTTGATGAGTTATCTTCCTCCCCTGCCTTGGACACCATGACTCATTCAAACTTCTGCTTCTTCTTGTAGCTCTGTAATAGCCTATGATATACACAAAACTTCAAATCTGATAGAACGTTGGGATGACAATTAGGTTTAAAATATTGCTATGATTAGTAGTAATAAATTAACATATTTTAGATATCAAACTATATCTAAAATATAAACTGAGTTGGAAAGAGTTGGTAGAAGTGCCGGCCTCCCCTAGTTTCACCCGAGTTTTATCTTGGTCATGGATAAATCACCTAGGTTCGAGTCCATAAGTAGTGACAATTGCCCCATGAAGATTCACTTTCGAGCTAGGTTCCCTTAACCAAACCACGGCTTGGAATCTTATAGTTTCATGTTCTGTTTCACTTCTCGACGGGGTTTCTTTTCACTAGCAAGGGGTACTTGGTTATTCACATATAAAGCCGAAAAATTGATGGGTTGAAAATTAGCTTGAAAAATGTGAAACTTTCTCTTTTTAATAAAATAGCAAAATAAATACGTAGCATTTTTATTATTATCATGTTTGAATAAAATGAGTATCTTTTTTGCTGCTCTCCCCAACTATACCGAAAGAAAATATTTAAAAATAAATAAATTGAAAGATACGACCTGACGTGACGTGATAAGTTGTTAAGATAAGGATAGATCCAAACGAGGTATATAGCTCAAACCTGTACGAAGAGCAATCCACGAGAGCACCACCTCGTTAATAAACCTACTTAATGGAACTCAAAAAACGATTGGTCTCTAAGATTCAACCATCTCACTATAACCTTCGCATATTATTTGATCATGAATCACTTCATTGAGAGAAGACTTCGAGCAATGAAGAAAAATCGGTAGAAAGTAAAAGTCGATATCGCTCTCGAAAAACACATCCTTAGAAACCCTCGAATGTAACGACCATACATTGTTCAGCTCCGGCGTGGTCATTGTCACCCAAACAAACCTCACCATCGCCATTCTCATTTGCTCCACCAAGATTTACCCCTTCAATTTGCCCTGCATTTATATGACTATCATCACCAGTTAAATCCTTTTTAGTTTCTGCAGTTTGTTCAGCCCCAACATGACTGTCCTCTGCATCTCCATCATGTTTTGTTCTTAAGATGTGTCTAGTCCCGGCGTTCGGATCAACCTGTTCTGCTCTGACAGGTTTATCGTCGGCAACTTCATCTACTTTCTCTCCAACAGTTTGTCCACTACCAGCATGACTATCATTGTTAGCGTTATCGTGTTCTGGTTTTAAAGGTTGTCCGGTCCCAATATCGTTACCGATGTTAGCTTCACGATGATCATCATTCGTAGCTCGGTCGTGTTCTCCTTGTCCAGTTTGTCCAGCCCCAACACGACCGTTTTCAGCTGCTCCGTTATCCTGTCGGACACCACTCGATTCATGAATGTCACTACCAATACCATCTTGTTTTGGTTGAACTCCAGCATTGTTGTTGAATCCAACATGTTGAGCATCACTCTCATGGACATCAGTATTGGATCCAACATGATCAGCATCACTCTCCTGTTCATCATTATCTACTCCATCCCTTACTTCTTCAGGTTGTTCAGCTCCACCTGATGCCTTGTGTTCATCTGCCGATACTACTCGCGGCTTCACTTTTTTGGAGTCAACATAAATGGTAGAGATCTGAGAGAGATTTTGATTTTGATAATTGATTTCCTCCACAACTTTTTGGCTAAAGGATCCACAAAACGTGACCCTCAATTCCTTCATATTTTCAAAAGAATATAGATCAGGAAGAAAACCTGGCAATCTAGGGCAGTTGGAGATCCCAAGAAGTCGAAGGCCCCAGAAATCTGAAAGCCAGATAGGAAATACTCTTAGCATGGGAAATTCTCCAAATTCTAGCACTTCCAAATCATCACTCAAATACTCTATCCACTTTGGCAATGTGGCAATTGCAGGAAGTCCTCTGAGTATCAATTTCTTAAAATGAAGGAAGTCCACTGAGATTGGGAATCTCAGCCGCTCACACCCCCATAGTGCCATATTACAAAACGACCTCAAGTTTTCCAAGCCTTTTGGCAATGTCAGCAGCGATTTGCAATCATAAATGATTAGTGTTTGAAGGGAATTGAGTCTATCAATATCTTCAAACAAGTGAGTCAAGTTTTTGCTACCTCCGATGGCGAGAAAACGAAGTGACGTTAAGCTTCCTATGCCATCTTTTCCCATGCTGGCTTGCTTTGTCTGTATCCATAAGAATCTGAGGCTGATCAAGTTCTTTATGTCTTTGGGAAGCTCTTCAAGCTCTGAGCAGAATGCAAGTATCAGGGTCCGCAGGCTCTGTAGCTTGCAAATAGACTCTGGCAACCTCTTGAGTCGTCGGCTCCCTCGCAAATCTAAGTACCTTAAATGTTTCAGCGTGTCGATGGAGGTTGGAATTTCTTCCAATGAAGAGTTGCATAAGTATAAGACCCTTAGCTGCTTGAACTTGGTGATGCATTTGAAAAGAGGAACTCCATTGATCTTTGGCTCCACACCTCCTCCCACTGGAATGGAAAGAACACAAATTTTATCACATGTCGGCCGGGGCAAATCCTTGTTGTTGCAGTCGACAAATGACAGCTGATGCAAACTTTCCAGGTTCTGTTGGTCCTTACTAGCCTGTTGTACTGCAAGATCATGAACAAGGCTATGGATTTTGAACCAATATCCAAGAGCGTGCTCCTCAACGTCTTCGAGTAAACCGCGAGACCACAATTCTTTGAAGTATTGCTCCCCAACATCCTCAGGATCTTGGCTATCTGAATGAAGGATTCCTTGCGCCATCCATAACTGGATTATCTCAAATGAGTAGAACACATAATCTTTAGGCAACAATGAAAAGCAAAGAAAACAAGGCTTTAAGTAAGATGGCATTAGATCATAACTCAGTCTCAGTGCACGTAAAACGCAACCACCCTCCTTCACCTCTTCCTGTTTCAATTTCTCCCTCAAGGCCTTGACATCCAACCACTCGACACCATCACTCGCTTCCGAAGAGAGCAGTCCTGCCAAGGATTTGATTGCAAAAGGAACTCCTCCACATTTTGGCACAAGTTCTTTCTTGAGTTCACTGTGAATTCTGGTCATATTTTCAGTAAGGTTTTTGCTTCCAAATGTCTGTTCAAATAAAACCATGGATTTCTCCTCGTCGAGTTTTTCAACCTTGTATGTTACAGAATCCTGTACAGTTTGCTCACTGCGAGTGGTGATCATGATCTTGCTGCCATTAGCACCCATCTTCACTAATTTTTCCAGTTCCGATACTCTATCAGGGTCCAAATCCCCAAAATCATCCAAAACAAGCAAGAATTTTCGGCCAACAAAGCTCCGTTTGAGCCGGATTAGTAAACGGCAGTCGGTTAAGAGATCACTAACCTTTTCTCCAGTTGCTGAACTGAGAACCTCCCTTCTGATTCTCCGAACATCAAAATCTTCAGAAACACATAACCACATTCTCTTGTCAAAATGATCAAACACTTGGTGGGCATTGTAAACTAACTTGGCCAGAGCCGTCTTTCCCATCCCTCCATCTCCATGGATTGAAAGAATAAGCCGAGATTTTTTTTCATCATCTTCATCTTTCAGTAGTTCATCAATGATACTCTGTTTTGTTTCATCTCTACCAACAATGTAGTCGAAATTATCAGAGAGAATCGCCTCTTTTTTCAAATGCAGAAGCCTTGAGAAAACTTGTGAACCAGTAATGGAGGTCCGCAGACTCATTTCACTCTTCAGACGTTTGATATGTTCATTTTCATCTTCAACCAGAGAGAATTCAGACATGGTTTCCTCAATCGTATCTAAAGTCTTCGTGATTTCGTTGAGTTTAGCGGCAGTTTTAGTTGCAGAAACGAAGTAATTGGACGAGAAACAAGAAAAGAACTGGCATCCTTTTTTGTCAACGTCATTCTTTCTATTCTGCACTCTCCACTTCAAGTATTCGCATTCCAATTCCTCAAGCAGATCGTCGGCCATTGAAAATGCATGTTTGAGTTGTTTAAGCAGATCATAGAGTTCCGCATCGCTTGCCTGCTTCTCCTCGGCGTCTCGGAGTCCGGACTTGAGATTCGACACAGTCGTTTCAAGGTTTCTTAGTTCGCTTCGGATATGACGAAAATCTGGTCGATCGGCGGCTTTAACTATCCTTCCGAGCAGATTTCCGGCAACAATGTCAAGAAGTCCGGCCATTGTTAGGGTTTAATTTTGTCTGATTGATTCTCGATTTCTTCCTTTCTCGTCTTCAAAATGGATCGTTATGTAGTCGCCCTAAATTCTTTGCATTTCAAATCAAGTTAACTGCTACTTTCCTCGATTTCTCGGCTAGCATCGTTTTCCTTGCAATCAAGCAAACGGCAAAAAGTTTTCATACCTTTTCTTTTTGGCTTTACCGAAGGAAGCCAACTGAAACTGGATTTGCGTTTGTTCTTCATGAACAGAGTACAGAATGTTCTTTGCCTCTGAATATTCTTCATCTTCCAATCTATGGATGTCTTGCCTCTGAATGTTCTTTGCCCCTGCCTGCCATGGATCATGATTCATTCAAACCTCTGCTTCTTCATGTAGCTGTAAAAGCGTGTGATCTACATAAATTTTCGCTCCGAGTATACTCTAATGGTTTTGCTTTGTGATTCCTCAGAAACACAAAATGTCTCATATCAATGGAGGGAGTATTCTTTTGTTTATAAACCATAATCATTTCATAAATTAAGTCCCACATCCTTCAACAATTTTCATTGAATAATTGAATAATTAAATTATTTTTATCTCGAGTAATATTCTACCCGTTACTATTTCTAATATTTTTTTTAATATATTATATTAATTTTTTAAGGGGCTATTTCCATGCAAACCTCACTAATTGTCTCTGCATCCCTATCTCTTTTATCATTGAGCAGTCATCTCTACATCCCTACCTCTTTTATCACGTAGCGGTGCCATTTAGGGGCCTTAGCTAGTGATCTGGACTATTTCCATCTCGACGATGAAGCTTATCCCCCATCGTCTCACTAGCCAACATTAACCTTCTTGTTATCTCTAGATCATACTAGTATTTAGAGGTTGCCCTTGATTTTGTAACACTCTCCGCAACTTGCATAAAAACAATGCTTTACCCCTACATGTCCAATCAACGGCAGTTGTTGAACACAACTCTTTATGGAAAACACTCACACTCTTTATTCGCATCAATCGAAAAAAAATTACAAGATATTATGTATAATACTTTTGCACTCCATGCTTTGTATTTTTTAGAATGAAAAACTCAGGTAGGGTGGAGGAGTATTTATACTAGAGCCTACGCAATTTCATACCGCTCTCGTGACCCACACGGAAACAGTGTTTTACCCCTAGATATCCAATCAACTGTCGAGCCTCTTGGCAAAGTTAACAGCGATTTTCAATCATAAATGATCCGTGTTTGAAAGGAAATAGATGTCAACTACAAATATTACATGGCAACACATCCTCAGAACCCCTCAACTGTAATGACCATAGTTTGTTCGGATCCCGCACGGTCCACCTCAGCATCGCCATTCTCATTTGCTCCACCAAGTTTAGCCCCAGCATGACTCTCATCAGTAATTACATCTTGTTTTGCTCTTACGATGTGTCTAGTCCCGACGTTAGGATCACCCAAAGTTTGTTCGGTTCCGACTAGCCTATCGTCGCCAACTTCATCTACTTTCTCTCCAACAGTTTGTCCAGTACCAACATGACTATCATTGTTAGCCTTATCATGTTCTGGATTTAAAGGTCGTCCAGTCCCAATGTCACTACCAATGTTAGCTTCAAGATGATCATCGTTCGTAGTTCGGTTGTGTTCTCCTTGTCCAGTTTGTCCAGCCCCAACACGACCGTCCTCAGCTGCTCCGTTAACCTGTCGGGTACCAATTGATTCATGAATGTCACTACCAATACCATCTTGTTTTGGTCTAACTCCAGCATCATTGTTGAATCCAACATGTTGAGCATCACTCTCCTGCTCATCATTGTCTACTCCATGCTTTACTTCAGCTCCACCTGCTGCCTCGTGTTCATCTATTGATGTTACTCGTGGATTGGTTCGTCTGGTGTCGACATAAATAGTAGAGACGTGAGAGATACCCCACTCTTCGTGATTGCTTTCATTCATAACGTTTTTGCTAAACATCCCACAAAATGTGATCCTCAATTCCTCCATCTTATCACAATTATCCATATAAAGAGGCATACGACCCTCCAATCTAGGGCAGTTGGAGATCCCAAGAATTCGAAGTTCCCATAAATTTGGAAGCCAGGAAGGCAATACTCTTAGCGTGGGAAACTCTCCAACTTCTAGCACTTCTAAATCTGCATCAAACCTGTTTAACCACGTCGGAAAAATGGCGAATGATGGAAGTCCTCTGAGTATCAGTTTCTTCAAACGAAGCAATTCCAGTGAGATTGTCCATTTCAGCTGCTCACACCCCCATAGTGCCATATTACACAACGTACTCAAGCTTTCCAAGCCTTTTGGCAATGTTAGCAGCGATTTGCAATCATAAATGATTAGTGTTTGAAGGGAATTGAGTCTGTCAATATCATCAAACAAGCGAGTCAAGCTTTTGCTCCCTCCGATGGCGAGAAAACGAAGCGATGTTAAGCTTCCTATGCCATCTTTTCCCAAGCTGGCTTGCTTTGTCTGTATCCATAAGAATCTGAGGCTGATCAAGTTCCCTATGTCTTTGGGAAGCTCTTCAAGCTCTGAGCAGAATGCAAGTATCAGGGTCTGCAGGCTCTGTAGCTTGCAAATAGACTCTGGCAACCTCTTGAGTCGTCGGCTCCCTCGCAAATCTAAATACCTCAAATGTTTCAGCGCGTCGATGGAGGTTGGAATTTCTTCCAAAGAAGAGTTGCATAAGTACAAGACCCTTAGCTGCCTGAAATTGGTGAGGCATTTGAAAAGAGGAACTCCATTGATCTTTGGCTCCACACCTCCTCCCACTGGAATGGAAAGAACACAAATTTTATCACATGTCGGCCGGGGCAAATCCTTGTTGTTGCAGTTGACAAATGACAGCTGATGCAAACTTTCCAGGTTCTGTTGTTCCTTACTAGCCTGTTGGACTGCAAGATCATGAACAAGGCTATGGATTTTGAACCAATATCCAAGAGCGTGCTCCTCAACGTCTTCGAGTAAACCACGAGACCACAATTCATTGAAGTATTGCTCCCCAACAACCTCAGGATCTTTGCTATCTGAATGAAGGATTCCTTGCGCCATCCATAACTGGATTATCTCAAATGAGTAGAACACATAATCTTTTGGCAACAACGAAAAACAAAGAAAACAAGGCTTTAAGTAAGATGGCATTAGATCATAACTCAGTTTCAGTGCATGTAGAACGCAACCACCCTCCTTCACCTCTTCCTGTTTCCATTTCTCACTGAAGGCCGTGACATCCAACCATTCGACACCATAACTCGCTTCCAATGAAAGCAGTCCCGCCAAGGATTTGATTGCTAAAGGAACTCCTCCACATTTTGGCACAAGTTCTTTCTTGAGTTCACTGTGAATTCTGGTCATATTTCCAGTAAGGATTTTTCTTCCAAATGTCTGTTCAAATAAAACCATGGATTTCTCCTCGTCGAGTTTTTCAACCTTGTATGTTGCAGAATCCTGTACAGTTTGCTCACTGCGAGTGGTGATCATGATCTTGCTGCCATTAGCGCCCATCTCCACTAATTTTTCCAGTTCTGATACTCTACCGGAATCCAAATCCCCAAAATCATCCAAAACAAGCAAGAATTTCCTGCCGATAAAGTTCCGTTTGAGCCGGATTAGTAAACGGCAGTCGCTTAGGACATCACTAACCTTTTCTCCGGTTGCTGAACTGAGAACCTCCCTTCTGATTCTCCGAACATCAAAATCTTCAGAAACCCATATCCACATTCTCTTGTCAAAATGATCAAACACTTCGTTGTCATTGTAGACTAACTTGGCCAGAGCCGTCTTTCCCATCCCTCCATCTCCATGGATTGAAAGAATACGCCGAGATTTTTGTTCATCATCTTCATCCTTCAGTAGTTCATCAATGATACTCTGTTTTGCTTCATCTCTACCAACAATGTAGTCGAAATTATCAGAGAGAATCGCCTCTTTTTTCAAATGCAGAAGCCTTGAGAAAACTTGCGAACCAGTAATGGAGGACCGCAGACTCATTTCACTCTTCAGACGTTTGATATGTTCATTTTCATCTTCAACCAGAGAGAATTCAGACAAGGTTTCCTCAATCGTATCTAAAGTCTTTGTGATTTCGTTGATTTCAGCGGCAGTTTTAGTTGCAGAAACGAGGAAATTGGACGAGAAACAAGAAAAGAACTGGCATCCTTTTTTGTCAACGTCATTCTTTCTGTTCTGCACTCTCCACTTCAAATAATCGCATTCCAATACCTCAAGAAGATCGTCGGCCATTGAAAATGCATGTTTGAGTTGTTTAAGCAGATCATAGAGTTCCGCATCGCTTGCCTGCTTCTCCTCGGCGTCTCGGAGTCCGGACTTGAGATTCGACACAGTCGTTTCGAGGTTTCTTAGTTCGCTTCGTATATGACAAAACTCTGGTCGGCCAGCGGCTCCAATGATCCTTCCGAGCAGATTCCCGGCCATACTGTCAAGAAATCCGGCCATTATCAGGGTTCAATTTTGTCCGATTGATTCTAGATTTCTTCTTTTTTTCGTCTTCAAAATGCATCGTTATGTAGCCGCCCAAAATTCTTTGCATTTGAAATCAAGTAAGAAACTGCTACTTTCCTCGATTTCTCGGCTAGTATTCGTTTCCTTATAATCAAGCAAACTGCAAAATCTTTTCATACCTGATCTTCTTTGCTTTAGAGAAGGAAGCCAACTGAAACTTGGTTTGTGTTCGTTCCTCATGACCAGATTACAGAATGTTCTTTGCCTCTGAATATTATTTATCTTCCAATCTCATGTTGAATATATATATATATATATTTTTTTTTTTTTTTGTCTAATAAGTCATATACGAGGATGCAATATAATATTAAGATAATATATAATAATAATAATAGGTAAGGAAATATATCTTACATATTCTCAGTTAATATTTTATTACCGATATATTTTATATTTAATTAGTTTATATTTTTTATTTAGTATTAATTGATAGGTTGAATCCTATTTAAAACATTAATGAAGATTTTACTCTCTATCCTACCTCTATTTCTAATTCTTTTTCTTAACGTTGAATTTTTTATATATATAAATAAAAAATTATTTATATATTTGTTAAGAGATTGTTACGAAACAAATATATACATAAAAAAGTAGCATTGTAATAGACTAGAAGCTTACTAAAGATTAATAGATAGTATTATTATGATCAAGATTAATCAAATGAACCGATTTTGAAAGAAAGATAACACCAAAAGATTCATAAAACACAAATTGTATATTCAAAATGATGGCCGAACTCCAACGTTAGAAAAACCTTAAAACAAAATGGCAATGGCAGTTCGTATTAAAAGAAAGTTGTTAAATGAAAATTGAAAGAAAATAAAACTTACAACTGCCAAAAACAAAAAGTTTTCAAATTTCAAATTCTTTCCAAAGTTGTTATTTATTGTAACTTCATACTTCACTTCTTGGCTAATTATACAAACATTAAGGAATTTATTCGAAAAATAATAGAATCTTTTAAAACAATAATAAAAATAATAATTTGATAACTCAACCCAACCCGAAAATAGAGGGTTGGATTAGGCTGGATTACAAATTCTATTCGAGTTACTTAGGTCAACCATCCAACCAACCCGAACTGTCGGGTTGCTCCAAAAAAAAATGCCAGCCTAACCCAACCCGTGTACTTTCCTACCTATTTGTTCTTTTCATTGTTTTGGTTAACAAAAAATGCAAGAAGTCTACAAGCATTCAATACAAGAGTCCACCAAATTTAGTACCGAAGGGGTGATTTTTGAAGCAATCCGAGCAGAAGTCAGGAAGGCTGAAATCTCAAAGTAAATCACTGCAGAATATGGATTTGGAGTTTGGAGTCTTACCTTTTCTTCTGAGGGCACAGCAGGGCAATGTCATCCAAATTGCAAGCTGCTAGCCACTCCGATCCTTCCAACTATGTTCACCAGATAACTAGGTGCATAACACAGAAATTTGGTTAAAAATGATAGAATGTCAACATGCGAAACGAGAAACACCAGCGAGATCTTGATATCGATAACTGGATATATGTATTCAAGAAGGAAATCATATTTATATTACTTTAACTTCCAGATAGAGATACATATGCATAATATAAAACAACCAGGACAAAACAAACGGGTGATATTCTAAGACTTGATATTTTTTCCTTTCTTCTTCAACTGTATGGGGTTTCCTTTCGTGATCATCGCTACTATGTTTTAAAGCCTCAGGTGATGGTGAGTATGTATGATGCATTGTAATTTATGTAAAGCTTTACTCCTGAAAGCTTGTTTTCATGTGAGATCCTACAACATCAGAGCACAGAAACCCAATCCAACTGAGCTTAACTCGAACGTCATTGTTGGGGTACGCGAGACATTCCTTGAACTTTATTCCTCCGGTTGAAACAAAGTGTATGTTGAAGAGGTTTCAGTTTTTGTAACCTGCATTATGGAACCGAGGGTTATATGAAAGCAATAGCAGCTCTCTTTTGGATATAAAGCAACACAATATGTTTCACTAAAACCATATCATCTTCCAGGTCGCAGACTGAACCATTAACATTTATTATGAGTAAAACTGGAATGTCTTTGAGAATAGATTCCTATAAGCACTTTCTGACAAAGCAATAATCAAATGTTTATTTCCAAAGTCGTCTAAATGTTTTTAGGTTTTTTTAGAATTTTCAGAAATCGCCTCTTACTTAAGATGCAACCGAATACCATAAGACTTTATTTCCTTATTTCATCCTTCTAATAGCCATCTCAAAAAACAAGGATAGTGAATATACTAACCTCAGCTGTACGAGAAAGTCCAGTAGGAAGAACAGAAACGAGAGATGTCCAATGAATCGGATCTCCCAGTGGATCAACAGTGTTGTAACTACTAAGAAGAGGTGCAGTTAAGAAAGGAGTCAAGGGGAACATATTTCTCTGAAGTGGCAATCCACCACTTGTTCCGAAAGCAACCCCATATCTCTCGCTGGGATCACCACCATGACTTGTATGTGTTTCAATTACTTTCCCATGATCTATCTTGTTAACAGTGTTTTTATTTTCATTCTCATCATTCTCATTGTTAATTTCCTGTAATTTCAAAGCTTTCTCCTGCAAACTCTTGTAGGCTGCTGACCGTGACAAGATGCTTAAGGCAGAGACCCTTGAAGTAGCCTTCTTTACATCATGTAGTGTACCCAAACAAGGCATCTCATATGGCTCCGTAGGACGGGCGGTCTGCCCCAGAGCTTTGAGTTCACTGCCAACTTCTCCAGCACAACTACTATGTTTGTCTTCTTCTGACGACTTTGAGCCAGCACTTGCCGTTCGAGTTTTGTTGGGCCCCCACCATTTAATGTGACTTGTTAAGTCAATCTTCTTTTCAATGCAGAAGCCCGGGACGAACTCACCTTCTGTTGCTTGATCATCTCCAGCACCTTAAGATTGCATTGGACAGTAGGCACTGTTTATTATTCATATGGGAGAAATTCTTGTCCACTTTTAAGTATAAACTCAGAAATCAAAGCAATCCAACGAGAAATCTGCCCTTGAAACTAGAGACATGATAGAATAATAAGTTAAGACAACTTACCATAGTTTATGCTGTTGATATACTCAGGGCCCGGCACACGACTAAATGAAGGATCCCAACGACTAGTTTATAAATGCATCAACATTAGTTAACACAGATCAACAAAATAAAAGTCACATGAATAGTGATACTATTAATTTATAAGACGACTTCAAGTGTGCATGATGTCCATCAAGAATTCATTTGAAGCCACAACAATAATGTAAATATTATACTCTAAATCAAAATTACAATGATATAAAGAGAATTTGCAAGTGGAAGTAAAAAAGGAAAATTGAAAAGAAAGAAAATAATAGATGGATTCAAAGATTTTATTCTGCCTCAAAGGACTCTAAAGAAATAGCATCAGTTGCATGTTAGTATATAAGCAATATATTAATTTGCGGAAGCAAAAGTGAATTCAATCAAGAGCATGATAGTGAGGGGAAAAAAATACCTTGGGAGACCTCGATATTTGGATATTCCCCTGGAGAATCCACTGCTCTTTCTGAAAAGTATATAATTATATGAGTAGCAGCCGATTGTACCATAAAAGATGTTTCAACTGTTTCTACTTACCTCCTTAGGGATGCAAGATATTCCTCTCTTGAAACATTCTGCATTTCTTCAAGGTCCCTTGAATAATCAGTCACCTGCAAAATGAAGTTCCATTTCTTATTACACAAAGAAAAGTCAAGCAGAACAAAGCATACAAGTTGGATACTGAAGATACTACACTGGATAATAAAATACTTTTTCCAAAACTCTGTAAGGTGGTAATATTCTATAACATCCATATTTAATACACTCGTTCAAAAGCTAGAAAGTGTCGTACAATTTAAATTAGAACTCCAATACTATGTAAGATCAAGGATCAGAAAGAGGAATGTATGCTTCAAAGTATGCATAAAAACAATTTATGAAACACATGGTCATAAAAGAATCAATTTCTTTTTTTTTTTCGTTTTTCCTTTTCTTGAAGGGGAAGGTGACTAAATGACATCTCACTGGAAAGTTAATAAGAGTCCCAGGACCCCAATATTTTAACGCAGCCAAATCATAAGCCCTAGCAGCGGCCTCTTCTTCATCATATGCCCCTGTAGATACGTGTTATTCATTAATAAGTGTGAAGGGAAAAATAATCGAGTCTCAGTCGATGTTAAAAACAATATAGAGGAAAAGAAATCAGAAATCTAACTTACCCAGATACACTGGAATGATCAATCATATCCCGTCCATGCACATTTTAAATAAAAGACAAAAGATAAAAATGATGTCAGTACTCCGAAATCACAAGCAAATCAGTGATTGGTTTTTCACACCAATATTTGTGTGTATGTGGGAGAGAAACAGACCTTGCTTTCCCTTTTTGTTCTGGTTCTGGTTCCATGTACTTTTATCCCAAAGATGAGCTTCATAACGACCAGTCCATCTATGCCTAATATCATCAAACCATTCAATGGCGCTTGTCAGCAGAGAAAAAGATAAAGATAAAGAACAGGCGTACATCACAAGCAACGTCAGGTAACCAATTCTCGCTAAATAAAAAAATAAGAAAGCACCTTTATGGTTAACCAAACAATTGATCATCTTATGATAATAACGTGTATTGCCCACATCTACTGACTTGATATGGTACCAAATGAGGCAGGTGACTTCGACAGAATGATGATTACGATGAACAAAATAATTAACGTCCTATATACCACACCTGTAGACAGATCAGTAACGTCCCAAAATTCCCCTTTTATGTCTAGCTCTAGTTAAGATGCAGTTAATCATTAAGCCAATTCAGTAACTCTCTCTTTCACCAACGTGAGAATTATCGATTTCAGCTTCTGTTTTCGTGCATAACTAAACGCTTTTCGGAACGAACGAACAGCACATTCTTTACACACTATCAAATTTGGCTGCGAATCGTGAGAAACAATTGTACACTTCTCCGATTAATTTTTAGAGAATCTGTAAGCTAATTAAACTCAATCACTTCCAAACAAAAAAGAAAGAAAAACAGAAAAACAGAACTCTTCAATTTATCAGCAATCAAACGCTTCACAAGCTCCGAAGCCGTATGATATCAAAATTACCTTGTGACTCCGCGGTATATAGAACTTCTTTTTCCAGCAGCACACGGAGGCATTTTACTGATCCGCTCTTTGGCAGTACAACCTCTCTCTTTCTTCGC